GAGAGTTAGCGGTTCGCTGGAGGGGCTTGTTTCTATCAGGGGTAAAACACCCGCCCGTCCATCACCCTGACAGAGCTGACAGCCATTCAGCCAAACGAGAGGAGTTCCTGCCAACAATCAAAGGGCTTTTCATTGAAGGAATCCAGCTCTGGCCTGTCATCAGGGAGGGACGTCCCCAGCTGTCAGCAGGACAGGGGGATACTCTGGGTACCGCCTCCAAGTCTCTGGTCAAATCCATGGCATTGGTCAAGAGCACATGCTCCTCCCACTCCCACTCTCACTCACTCTCTCTCTCTCTCATTCTCTCTCTCTCTCTCTGCTCTCTCTCTCGCTCTCTCTCTCTCTCTGTTCAGTTCAATTCGATTCAATTTGCTTTATTTGCCCTTTGTGTGCAGGTGTGTGTGTGTGTGTGTGTGTGTGTGTGTGTGTGTGTGTGTGTGTGTTGATGTCGTTAGTTGTGTGTGTTACAGTTGAGGGCCTTTCCCCAAGTAAATATGTTTCTCTATGTCTGTCATGTTACCTGGAAGTATTTTTCCAATATAAGGAAAATGTTCATTTCTCAGGCCCTGGTATTTGGAGCATGAGATGAAGTAGTTCTGTCTCTGCCTGTCCTCTGTCAGACTGGGAGTCACCCTCTTTTGTTGGTGACAGAAACATTAAGTCTTCTTTTAAAAGTCATTTGTCATCTAATTCAGCTGTTGTGAACAATCCAATTAATTTGTGTTGAGGGGAGTTACATGGGTTACAAGCTTGTGGAACATTTATTACTTACATATATGCTTTATTATTTTTAATTTCCCCATTCAACTTAATTTCTACATTCTTTTATTGAATATGATCCCCAATAATGTCAGTGCTCTTATTCACCACTTGAGGGAGGCAAAACTAAAACTAATGTCAAGCAGCAGCATGGCTGAAAAATAAAGTGATTATACATTACTCCTGACTATATTAATGTATTAGGTATATTAATGTTTTAAATGTTTGTGTGTAGATGGAAATCTTTCAACTGGCTCAGCTGACTTTTTAAATTTTGCATTACCCTTTCCAAGAGTCAGTTAACTTTACTTAGAAATTATGATGATTTGAGCTGCAGACAACCTCATTGTCCATTACTCTGATTATTTTCTCGATTAATTGTTTGGTCTTTTAAACATCATGAGATAGTGAAATAGTGAAAATGGACATCACAGTTTCTTGATCAGAGCCCAAGCCAATGTATTCATAAGTCTCATCAGTTCAAAGATATTCTGTTTACAATGATATAAAGCAAAGAGAAGTACCAACTCCTCACATTTGAGGAGCTAATATTAGCAAATAATAGGTATTTTTACCTGGAAAAATTACTTAAACAGCTAATCAGTTGTTACTGTTTCATTTTCTGCCAGTTGATTACATTATTTCTGCTTTCAGCATAATACAGTTAGCTTTTTATTTCAGTTCCACTTATGTCCTGAGTAAAATCTTCATATGAGAGAGTGCTTGCTGTTGCAATTGTTTGTTTAAAACACTTCCAATGTAACCCAGAACTGCACCTGTGATGTTGTTGCTGCACTGAAAAGAAGGAATAGCCTACTGTAGGGATCTGTCTCAATATTTATTGAGTGTGCATTGTAATCACATCAATCTAATCCATTATGTTCATTTAAATATGCATACAACAAATATCAACAAGCCGTTGTAACATCTCTGTCTTTACTTGCAGCAGTGTCAGACTAGAGCACTGTCTGATGCTTCACTGGGTCTACTATTACATAACCAGTGAGCCGCCTGCATGAATCAATTATTTAACTTCATGTCATAACACTGAGGATGCTTTGATTATGACAGACAGCCTGACAAGGCTGTGCAGTAAATGGCAAAGAGAAAACACGCACCAATCTCCTCTGAATCTGTGGCTTCATCATGTGACTGCTGAGGGAGAGCACCTTCAAATAAGAAGTGTATCTCCACTGCGCTCAAAGACTGCACGAATGCTTGAATTTAAAAACAGCCCTTGGCAGTTGAGGAGTCAACACAAGCCTATTATACACAAGTGAATGTCTGTAAGTCTTTCCATGTGGGATTCACAATGAGCCATGGTTATTCCAGGGCAGATATATTTTCTACTTTGTCAAAAGGGTCTCAGGCATGTTTCATCACTTATAAGCCTCATCAGGGCAGGTGGTGCTGACTGTAGGTTGGTCCAAAGGTTAAACAATAGAGTACATCTTGATTTATCTGTCAGGATAATCAACCAAGAGCATATGTTCTGGACAACTTATCTCATGACCGAGAGTCAGAGAAAGAATGAAATAACGACAAGCTGCAGATGTTCAAAGGCTTGTTTTGAGCTGGCCATGACTTTCTCTCTGCACTCAGGGATGAAGAACAGCTCTATTCATGTCCACAGTAAATCATGAGGTTAAAGCTCGCCATACTTTACAATGACAGTGTGTCCCTCACTTCTTTTGTACATTTTCTGTTTTCAGTTTTAGGTCTACAAAACACCATCTGGGGCCCAGTGATGGTAGCCTACTATGGTTAATTCCCCTGTCACTGGAGCTATGATTAAAGCCCCCTGCTGGTTCTGGTTTTGTTTCTAACAGTAAAACCTGTGCAGTCTCTTAAGTCTCTTAATGTACATGTTCTACTGCAGAAAGGTCAATCCTCAACTGGCCAACAGGAAATCATCTTTTCAACCACCCATATGTAAAGAAAGAACTATGGTGTCTGGTGGCAGTGGGCCAAAGTAAAAAGATTTGCACACAAGTCGTTTTACTTACAGCAAGAACAATTTTGGAAATTTGATGATCAAAAGCTCAAATTAAATGTAAGACGTTCAAAAGCTCTAGAACGGCGCCTAAATAGATGTCGAGCTGAGATTGTCTGGTCAACTGTTGCCCACTTTTAACTTTATTTGCAAGATTAATACAAGCAGATGTTTAGAATAGTTGTGGGACTGTAAAGGCACGTCAAACATGAAATGAAAGGAAAGCAATTCTGTCAGTATCTAAATAAATTATCAGTTTACTTTTATAGAATTAAACAAGGAAATGGAAAACAACCATTCAATAAGTGTTTGCATTTTTTTAATCTACCGTAGGATTTCCTGTTGACTGTGTTCAAGCTCCAACTCTTATTGTGATGTGCTGGTGAATATATGATTATTGAGGCCATCACACTGATGCCTGCTAGTGCCATCTTAAAAAACAACCTCATGATAGAGTTTCAGTGTTGTATCATTAAAAATATGTGCACATAATAAAATAAATAATCATGAGGCGAACAAAGTTATTTCTGGCACATTACCATTAGTATTGTGAGTATTAATATTTATAGTCTACTTCACACTATTACATTTGCAAGGCCCTGCTTGCCACAGTCTTGTTTCTAAAAATGGATATAGTACATTTCCTCTAGATTTGCAAAGCGGCAGTAAAAAGTGATCTTATTACTGTGATTATGTTTATATACACAGTTCTTTATACCTTCACTGTAATTCATTCACAGAGGTTATTGCAGACTGTTTAGTTTCTATTTTCAGCCTCCGCTTCATAAGAAATGACTCAGGATACAAACAAGGTGCATAAATATCTTAGAGATCATTAAACATTACACAAGTCTCTCCACGGTGTTTGTTTTTCACCCAGTCATTTACTGCTTTGCATCTGTTTGTCACTGTGTACATATAGTGCAGTGTGTCAGACTGAACAGGAGTGAAGTACATTGTGTCTGTGTGTGAGGGAGATAAAACAGAAGAAAAAAAAACAGGAGAGAAGAGAGAGAGAGAGAGAGAGAGAGAGAGAGAGAGAGAGAGAGAGAGAGAGAGAGAGAGAGAGATCAAAGACTGTGGCAAAGCCAGGCCCTGTATCAAAAATGAGGCTGGAAGGCTCTCCCTCCTCTCAACATCCGGCTTTCCCCTGATCATCAACCCTGAGGAGAATAAACTCAATCCATGTTAAATTATAGATTAAGGCCCCTGCTCTGGCTATGGCTTGGCAGCTGGCGGCTGCATGTGCGTCGAGCTGCACTGAGTTTTACACACTTCTGCTGCTGCTACTGTTGCCTCACCTCACTGCCTTATTAAAATCAACATCAAACACTCTCCACAGATGAATAACGGGATTTAAAAGAGACTGTATGAATATGTAAAAGATTCTCTCCACAATGTGCTCTCTGTGAGGCTGTGGCTCTGCTGAGTTAACCTTTAGCATCACTTTTCAGGTCACAAGTGTTTTTCTCACTGGTAATCTTTTATTCACAGATGAGCTTTGTTCTTTTTAGCCCCATGATGAGATGACTTGGAAAGTGCTTGTTAACATTTTTATGGGTATTGTCTAATAGAAAGAACAAAAGGATTTTTGTTCTGCACTCTGTTCTTAAAGCTATTCCAAGCAGATGGTGCAATCACAGGACTGCAGAGCATCAGAAATGCAAAGACTGTATTTCAGTCACAAAAAGCTATCAATATCCACATCCACAGAGATTGAAATATACAAACATTTCAGCTTCGATGCTTTGCATCACTCTTGTTCTACATCAACTGAAAGAAATATAAGAAATAGCATGTGATATGTTTTATTGTACACGATCCACTGAGCTGCTTGGTGCAAACAACCTGCTCTGTCTGTATCAATGATGAGGAGAGCAATCTATAAGAGACCTCATCCCCACATCTCTCAGTGCATCTAGTTTAATCAGCTTTTGCATTACTGTAAATGGTCTCTGCAGCATTAATAGTGTCACAGTTGTAAACCCTCCATGAGCTTCATCTGGGGTCACATATTAACAAAGGAAACTGACATTATGAACAGAGTTCTTGTTGTATTGTAGAGGAAGAACTTCTGAAGTCTGAGCCCATCTCATTTTTTACTTCAGTCTGATCTGTCCCTTCCTCATGTATTTAATTTGTTTGTGACTGATCTAGTTAACAGTCTGCTGTATTTGCGTCTCTTAGTGTTTTGGAAAACATACACGACATCTGTTACATAAATGTATAAACCACACGTTACAAGAAATGAAGAGTTTCCATGCCACAGCATTTTATTCACAAAACCAGCTGGAGATTGATTTACTCCCATTTATCAGAAATGTAGCACTTTCTTGTCTTCTCTAAGAATGTATTTTTAGTGCACAGTGTATAAATAGCAGGAGAAAATGCCAATTATACATCTTGCATAAATATAGAGTCCGGTGTATGAAAAATAATGAATGTATTATTTTGGTACAGTCTGTGATCGAAAATAGAAATCTTTATCTGTTCTCAACATCAATAGTGCAGCAACAATATTCTTACGTAACAACACTATTAAGTATTTCCCTTAATTTCATGCAAAGCAAATCTCATAGGGCAGTCAAAGGCATCAAGATAATGTCCAACATCAACATCAAATATGATACATGCAGTAATAATGCTAACATAATCAGCATGCTGGCTAGTCTTAACTACAAACACTGTGATGAATCTCAAACAGTAGAAACAAATGGACAAATGAATACACTGTTCTTTACAAGAACCTTAAAACTTCTATTTAGACATTTTTACATACTGTATGCACAATAATGAAGTCTTCTAAAGGCGTAGTTCAGCTTTTTGAGAATTTTTCCCTTCTGAGACAATCTCATTCAGGATGTTTTTCATGCTGCTATGTGCAGTTAGACATCTAACAATGAAATTAGCCTAACTTTGCTCTGCTGATGCATTACGTCACCACTCACATCCTGGGGGTTTTACTGTAATATATTATACACATTGTATACATTTTTTAAATTAACATACATACAGGCATGTGTTTGTCTCACTCAGGTGAGAAATAAATAATTCATATAAGTTGTACAAACAGTAAATATTCCCCTAAAAACTAAACTTTACCTTTACAGTAAATTACTCTCAGATAGTGTTGCTTTCGTCAACGAAAATTACGACTAAATATCGTCGTCACGAACCTTTATCACGTGACGGAAACGAGACGAGACGCAACGTAAATGGTTGTCATGTGACGAAAACTAGAATCAAATATATAATGCAATATTGTTGACGAATAAAAACGGGACTAAATGTGGTTTGCAAAATAAAAACTCTGCTAAAATATCACTTCATTTTCGTTGACCAAAACGTGACGACACAAAATGTTATAACGTTATTTCGTCTCGCTATTATTATTATTATTATTATTATTTTGAAATATTTCTGTTTCCTGAGTCTCGGGGCTGCATCAGCGCACTGCGCAGACGCAGGCGGCGTCACTTCCTCAATCCCCACTCGCGGCATTATTTAGAAGATGCAGCTGCAGTGGGTTAATGTTAGTCACCAACACACACATTTTATTTGTACTTTTTTATTATGTCATTGTAGCTCGAGCAATCCAGCACCTTGTTTCTCTTTAAGTTAAACTTGAATGTAATATAATTTTTTTCTGGCATTGTCATTTGAAGCTATTTTATTTATTTATTTTATTTAAATTTATGTGTGTGTACTTCTTAGTACATGTTTGGTAGGTGAAATAAATATGTTGTAAATTCAAATCAGAGCGTCTTCCGTGTCTGGAATTGAATGTATTCTTGAGTCTATAAGGTAACAATAATACAATAATACGATAACCTTGTTTGACTTGTGAAATGGGTGACCTTTTGTCTATACTATACCAGGTACTTGTACTATATTAACTGGGTTAAATAGAATTGCATAACTAAAAAGAGACTAAAATACAATTTTCATTGACTAAAACTAGACTAAAATGTCATCAGTTTTCGTCGACTAAAACTAGTCGAAAATAGTCATGGATAATTCTGACTAAAATAAGACTAAAATGCTCAGACTTTTAGTCGACTGAAACTTGACTAGACTAAAAAGAGTGTAAACGTGACTAAACTAATAAAAACTAAAACGACAGTTTGACACAAAGACTAGACTAAAACTAAAATTAAAATAGGCTGCCAAAAACAACACTACTCTCAGACCCAAGAGACAAACCCATTTGTATTACTCTGTGTCATCATCAGGAATTAGGAGGTTACACAAACAAACACACACACACACACACACACACACACACACACACACACACACACACACACACACACACACACACACACACAATCAGCCTGAGGAGTTTTGTCAGTGTCCTTCCCTACAAAGTCCGTAGACTAACATTTGGCCTTTCACACTTATGTGCCTCATTCCTTACCTAGATATACACAGTTTTCATCTTAATGTGATGATGTGCACTGCTGATATGACACATACATGCAATTCACAGAACAAAGGCCAAAGGCTCGGTTAACCTACAAACACTGAAAATAATGTCATGCAGCAAAAGCTTTGCAACTGAGGTAAGACAGCCTATCAGTAAGAAACATTCAGGAACAAGATCATGCTCCTGTCTACATTCAAAATGGCAATTTATGTGACAGAGAAATCACAGTGATTCCTTTTTGTTTTGTAAAGGCATCCCAATGTGTTTGTGGTTTTGAGGCAGTTCCCATTACAAAACATTACAGTAATAAGTGGCCCTCTTTGGTTTCAACAGTAGACTCTCGTTCTTATGCATCTGAGTAATGAAGATAGATAGATAGATAGATAGATAGATAGATAGATAGATAGATAGATAGATAGATAGATAGATAGACAGACAGACAGACAAACAGACAGACAGACAGACAGACAGACAGACAGACATGGGAAACTGTCCTTTAAATAACGTTAATTATTCACGCTCCTGAGTTTAACACAGTGACACTTGGGAGAAGCAATGTGCTCAGCAGATAAAAACTGCATTTCATTTCCCCAGATTTTTAAAAATCATTTTAGGGTTGTGTATGTGTTAGAAAATCACAGGGTATGGGAAAAGTCCCATGTGAACCATTTAATGGATAAACTTGAACTTAACACATAGCTTGCTTCACTTTTTTCCTGCAGACGTAATGTTGCCAGCTGACGCTGGCTTACCATCACATGAAGCTTTGTTCACTCTGCACCTCACATCATTACTGCACTTAGATTTTGACCCAAACTTGGTGTTTTCAACTGGCTTCAGAGTCTCTGTGGAGTCTGGCTGTTGACTAGCTTCTGCACCTTCAGGACGGCTCTCATCTGATTCCGCACTGTGATTGGACAGTGAGACTCTGCGTGTCTGCTGATAAGATGAGCAGAGGTCCTGCCATTTCTTTCGATTGGCATCTATCCCATCAACCATCGGCTGCAACTTCCTGTTGAGCTTCAGCAGTGCCTAGGAAACACAGGAGAATACAGTTGATATTGATTGATGAGACCCACAGTAAATGTTCAACTTCTAACATCAAGGGTTACCTACCTGGTAAAGGGGTTTACATATACCATCTATCCACTCAATCTGTAAGGCAGGTAGTTCATCTTTGCGATTGCGATCAAATATAGCCTAGAGAGATGATAATTTTCTTTCATCCATGACCAAAAATATTAATTTGACAAAAAACAACAACAAAAAATCCCATTGAAAGATGAGACTTTAAAAGTCTGCTTACTTACTGCTGGGGTCAGCTTAAGTTCAGACCTCTCTCTGTCACCTTGTTCAAAGAATTCACTCGTCACCAGCTCTGCAACCTTGGGACATGAATGCCAACCATCATTATTTAATTATCTTTCTCAAACATGATGTAACATTTTGATATAAAAAACATGGGCTCAAAGCTAGAAGGTGCATTCATTCTGATATACTTTGTGCTAAATTCACTTTTAGTGATTTAGCAAGGAAAACTCCAATATTTTTCAGGGAGAACATGCACATTTCTCAGCCAGTATGCTTGTTTTAAAACCAGATTCGACCTATACTTTTACACCTCCAAGCCCTCAACCATGAAAGCACAGATGTGAGAAACTTTGCAATAGGCACTCAAACCTGTTTGGATATCTTCCATGGACGAGTGACGGCGCCCAGATCGCATGCTGTCATCAGCATGGACCTGTTGATGACATCAAAGCTCATTTCTAGCTACTTGTTTTGCTCCTCACAGTTAAAGTGACTTTGGCACACAACAGTTTCTATGTAGCACAAAGGCAGAAACCTGAGAACTTCTCTGTGTCCTTCATCTGTCCAGCTGAATTCTCCAGACAGAACACAGTCAAAGAACTTGGTTCTGCGCCTTACAATGCAAAGAGACAGTCAAGGATACAAAAAATGTTAAAAGACTCCATAGACAATTTATCCATTAATAATCTATTTAAGTTTTACGTTTTACCAATCATAAACTACTTCAGAATCCATTAAAAAGACCACTTACTCAAAGTGCAAAGTAAGGTCTGTAGAGAGAATAGCCTGCTTCAATAGTTGCATCATGTTGCTATATTCTTTAGAGCAGAGGTTTGCAAAGATATTGTGACCCTGTGAGAAAACAGCACAATAGCATACAGTAGGCACATACACAAAGGCAGGCAAGGATGAATAATAGTGACTCAAATGTCTCCTTAAAGCCAATGCATTGGTAAAGTCATCGCTCACTGTCAAGTAAAGCTCCCATTATCAGTGTTAATTAGCAATGTGTATAGACCTTCTTTGTCCTCTGTTAAAAGAAATCAATGGAGAGCACAGTTCCTAATGATCAAACTGATATACACCTGAGACAAAGCAGCCTCCTATTACATCACTAGTGGTCATTGCTGCCGCCTACCAACAAGGCAGTTTGTGCTCAGCACCATCCCAAAGCTCAAACTGCACACTGGTGGCACAAGAGTTACTTTTTATGCAGTTTTATGGTATTTTTATTGTATATATTTGTATTTTATGTAGCTTTGTTTGGGTTTTCTTTCCTGAGTTGAGTGTATTTCGAGGCACCAGGATTGGAAGCTAACTTAGGGCTGTGGTTTGTAGCATTGATAAACATTACTTAAGTACAATATACAGTAATGTCTGTGGTTCAGATGTTTTGCCCCTCATCAATCCCCCATGCCCCATGAGTATCTTTTGATATGTCCTTTTCACACTTCTCAATGAAGGGAAAGTGAAAAGGAAAACAATCTTACAAAATGGAAAACTCAATTAATACAGTAAACTTAACTTCAGAATTACTGACCTCACTTTGTAGGATCATGACCGCATGGTTGAAGTGATGATGTTCCAGGGTGGCTGATGTCCCGTAGAGCAGAGCCAGAGCAGAACCTGTCCTGTAGGAAAAACAGAACAGTGAAACCTTAAGTCACCTATAATCTACCTGTTCATCATCAAACTTTAGGCCTGGATCCCATACTTGGCTTGAAATGCATTGTTGGTGCCTCGGTGGTCCAAGTCATGACATAGACAGCCAACCATCAGTGCCAGTATCTCTGCGTCTGACAGGACATCCTGGAAAGTGGCTGTCTGCCGAAAGCAGATAATCACATTATTACCCATCAACTTAACACAGTCGATAACAACACATATTCTCCATTTATGCTATTAATTTTTATGTTTACTGTATTACCTGTTATTTTAATAGAACAGGATGGAATAGAATGAGATGGAAAGGGATAGGATAAGATATACAGGACTGGATAGGATAGGATAGGATAGGATAGGATGGGGTAGGATGGGGTAGAATAGGATACTATAGGAGAAGATAGAATGGGATGGAGTGGGATGAGATGGGATCAGATTAGATAGAACAGCATAGGATAGGCAGGGATAGTATAGGATAGGATAGGACAGGATAGCATGAGATTGGATGAGATAAGACAGGATAAGATAGGATATGATGTGATATAATAGGAAAGGTAAGGATAGGATAAGATGAGATTGGATGAGATAAGACAGGATAGGATAGGATAGGATGTGGTATGATATAATAGACTAGGATATGATATGGTAGGATAGGATGAGATAGGATAGGATGTGATATGATATGATATGATATGATATGATATGATATGATAGGATAGGATAGGATAGGATGAGATAGGATAGGATAGGATAGGATAGGATAGGATATGATAGACTAGGATATGATATGGTAGGATAGGATAGGATAGGATAGGATAGGATATGATAGGATATGATATGATATGATATGATATGATATGATATGATAGGATAGGATAGGATAGGAAAGGGTAGGACAGGATAGAATAGAATAGGATGAATAGAACAGACCATTTTTGATCATTTGTGGGTGGTTTTATGTCTGCTCTCAGCATGAACATCCAGTAAAGTTCATAATTTCTTAAGACTTAACCCAAATATCCCTCCTTTGAATTTTCTTCTAACAATGTTTCTCATGTGGTTTTTCCTCTTATCTATGTTTTTTGAGTCACTGAATTAGTTTAATGATAGCTCCACTGAGACTTACTTTACTCAGGACAGGCTTTAAAAATAACCTTGACAACTTGTTATCCTCATCTAGGATCTAAGTTTGGTTGGTTTCTGTTGCTGGAAGTTTTTCCTTACTGTATTAGATAGTTTGACAGCAGAGAGTGAAAGGAAACTCGGAGGGATGAAGGGGGCAACATGCGACAACAGACTCGGGCATGATTTTTGTAGACATACAAAGCAAACTTATACAGTTATTAACCACTTAACATCCATTTCCCTCTTGAAAAATAACCTCATTTCACACTGTATGTCAGTAGCATACTGTATATATACCATATTAGCTTGTTTGTCATTGAAGTAATATGATGTTTATACTGAATAAAATAGGGGATGTTCACTAGAACTGAAAATAAAGTTCTGTAGGTTGGAACAAAGACTGACCCAGTAGGGACAGTAGGGTTATTTGAAAGCAATACACTAACTTCACTTGATGCATCTTAAAACTTACTGTGATCATAACGAACATGCACTGCGACACATTGAAGGCATGCCTCCAGTTATGATACGCCACAGTTCGATAGTTCTTCCTCACAGTCAGAAGCCAGCGGCACAAAACCTACAAGAAGACAGACCTACTGGTGATATATACAGTATATATATATATATACACACACTGTGGACTCTAGTGCCTGACATTACATGATATATTCCAGACCATCACCTCATAGTCAATTTTAAACTTTTGGACGACACCAAGTTCCAGAAACATCTGGAGTGACGCAGTGATCATAGCGTCATTGTCCAAAGAGAAGTCGTTGAAGTGAAACTCATCGATGCCTAACTCACTGCTCAGGGGGATCTTAGCTGCCTTAGGGGGAAAGGACAGTGCTGTCAATCACACAGTGCCAGCAAGAGAGGAAGTCAAGCACTAAAACACATTGCAGACAGTTTTAAAATTGCACTTCACTTTCAAACACTCACAGGTATCAGATTTCATACATGTCAGAAAGTTAGTATAGTGATAATGTGCATATATCAATGTTGTTTTCTTAATATTCCTATCTGAGTATTACCTTGAGTCTGTCAACTTCTACCTTGGAACAGGTTGCATGGTAGGACAACATCTGAATAAAAAAGAATCATACCAAACAAATATATCACAGTTATGTCATATAGAAAACTTATTCTGACGCTGATCACATGCTAATGAGGTGAATGAAAACCTTAAAGACATACTCTGAAATAGTCTTACTGCTGCAAAAGATAATCAATATGTTCCAAGAATTCTGACGTGATCTATCATGTTACATAATCAGGATCAAAGAAAGTACATTTATTCTTTTTAAAACAATTTGTCGCTATATTTAGGCTCTCCTGACGAAAAGCGAAATCCATCAGGTGTTTAAAGAAACAACAAAGATTATGTGACAGAAATACAAAAGTGTGTGTTGCCTTTGATGAGAGGTGAGCAGACTAGCACATGTATTTATCATGAATTATTGAAAGCAGCTGAAATATTTATGGTAGAGAAGCAGTACCATGTTTGCTGAGGATAATGTAACTGCTCAGGTTAGATACCGGGCAGTGGAGCACAACACAGATGGAGACACTAATGAATGTGAAAGTCTGTTAAGATTAGCATTAATCAGTGACGCCACTTCAATCACTGTTTTATCATACATTCATTTTAGATGAGACAATTAGATGATTTGTAGATGTTAAGAGGTGTAATAAAAGTCTGTTTTACATTATTAAGATTTACATTAATTTAGATTGTTTGCATTTATTTTTTTAAATTCATCATCAAGACTGCTTGTGTTAAGTTCTTCAGTAATCTTAATGATTGTTAAATAAACCAACTTCATTAAGTATTTCTACTGTGTATAAGTGCATATATTTAAGTATATATGTAATAATGTTTGTTTGAATGGGATATAGTTTTAATACTGGTAATATATTCATTGTACGTCCATCAAGTGCTTTGAAAAGACTGGTAGCTAGTGGATGATGTATTTCTGTAAAATACTTCATTAAAAGAAGATTATATTTTTTACATTCATTGATTTATTGTTTTGTTTTGTTTTTTGTTTGCTGTTCTACATTTTTAAACATCTTTATTATTTTTTGTAATTTGTCACATTTTGAAAGATGCAGGAATAATAGGAAAAGAGAAGATATTGACAGAATAAAAACAATATAGAAAACAAAAAGAAAAATCTAAAAAAAATTCTAAAATAATTGAGTGATGGTTAAAAATAGGAGCACAATGTATCTTACATCCAGTGCTACAGACTGCTTGGCCCATGTCTTCTTTACTTGATTGTACATCATAGTGTTGTTGATTCCAAGTCCACAGAATATCACAAATGCCTGTACAAGAAAACGCCAGAGAAAAAACACATAACAGGAACCTGAATTGGCATGTGTATCCAATGCAACACTGAACACTTAAAACAAAGTATTGATGGAACAGCTGTAATCCGTGTTTAAAAAAAAGGCTAACCTCAAACAGTCTCTGATCAGCATCATTGAAGGTCTTCCTGTCTAGGCGATTCAGAATTTGTGCAACCCCTGTAGAAAAAACACATACATCATCAACTGTGACGTGAAAACTAGTTTCCCAGTGAGGACAAATTGATCACTGCTGAACTAACCAATTATCTGATGAGTTCGATTCCAGATAGGGACACATAACACTGATCTGATGTGAAACCCTGAGGCCTGATCCGCCTGTAAAGAGACAGTAACAATGACTGAGAACAGTTAATGTTTGTTTGAAACATTTAGATTTTAAAGATCTTCCTAGGCCTTGATTTTTTCTTTGACTGGAAAATGAACAAAAATACAACAAAAACAAACACTGAAGAATACAGTTGTGTCCATACCTCAGCATCAAAGCGTGGGTCCTGACAGACGTCACTGATGTTAACAGGCAGTCCTGTGGAAGCCACCAGCTCAGCAATGCTGTTATTGATCAGCCAATCAGAACACGAGAGCTTCTCCATGCTGATGTGGCCAATAACACAAACAAGAGGCAATGGTCAGGTTTGGGAACTTAGATGTGTAACACAACAGCCAAATATTGGGTGCATCCACATATATATTTATGGTGTGTGTTGCTGTGGTGATACCCCCCTAGTATCCCCCTAGAATAAATAATAATTCTGACTGTCGGTCTGCCAGTGTCTTTTTCATAATGTCTCTTTAACCTGATGTCATGGTCCATGTTGCAAAGGGGAGACATGAGCTCAAACGTCTTGGAGAACTTCACAACCTATAGAAGAGACATGTATCATCACAACCAGTAGCAACGACACTTAGCAACAAAGGTAGAAGAGTTTTGCACAAGAAAGGCTACATGGTTTAATGGAAAAGTGAATCTGTATCTGAAAAGCTGATAAAGAGCCATAGGTCTCACAGGTGAGTCGATGTCTTCGAGGAGAAGCACAGAGCAGCGTTCACATTGCAGGAGGGTCAACGCTCGCTGCATGATCTTCCTAACAATCTTTTCCAGGTCAGTCTGCTCCTCAAACAGGTCGTTGACCACCTCCAGCAGAGCCTATGACCACGTCAAAGGACACTAATGACTTATGTTCTTTGCACAGTGTTGACTGTGTTGTTGAAGGATGCAGTAGAATGGTCTTTTCTCTGTGGTAATATGTTAACGAAAACTATTGAATAATGAATACCCACTATAAACGTAAGGTATGTTGATGTGTCTACAGTGAAATTCAATTGCTGTTCTCGGTATTTTTCAATTAAGTATAAAGACTTGTTACTGTTAATTCTCCAGTGACGAACATCTTTTTGTAAATGCACAGTTTATAGTTTCTTACCCTACTCCTCTCATACTCTTTGCGAGACTCCGAAAACAACTTGGCATTGGAAATCGATATGCCACAGAATGGTAGATACATCTGCAGTACCTGGGTAAAAGTACAAAAAAAATGGTGAAAGCTATGCATAATCAGTAAATGTTAGCTATCTGTATGCTACACCAAACAAGAGACAGTGTGTGTAGGGATGGGGGTAGAAAGTCATGATGGAGTTAGTTGTTTTCCTGCACAGATTTCCTTTGAATGAAGTACTGATTTAGAGAAAAAAGGCATTTAGTAAGACATCAAGAGCCCTAAAATGTCTTGATAAGCTGGCAGATCAAGATGTGTTTTTCTATTTTCAGCATCTTTGTTGCGCAACAGTAGTTAATAAAATCGTTTTGCTTTAGCTTTATTTAGAGTATGGTTTTATATTCACATACAGCAAAGTACTTTGAATGTTTAAATTACTACAAATTCAAAGCTTTGTTTAAAGTTTAGTTATTTGAAGTAGGAGGCCAGAGAACATATTGGGAAAAGATGATTTTCCACAACTTTATTCTGCCACCTTGTGGACAAACTGCTGCCTCTAAGTGCAGCTGAACTCTTGCAAAGGTGAATAAACCATAAACTGTTTGATGTTTTTATTACTGACTACAAAGATTTATTACACCTGCATCTGGCAGTAGTTGGTTTTCTTGATTTTTTCTTTTCAATGTATTTGCCCAGAGTGAGCCAGATTAAACGAGCACCTTTACTTTTTTTATTGCCTGGGCAGTGCTGTTCACATGTGCGAGATACACAATATATTATTTACTAATCAACAAACTGGGAGGATGAAACTGAACTCATCAGCTGTGGAACTGTAATTGAACCTACAACATACAGATCCTAGTAAACCCATTTCAAGTGGAGTGCTCATGGAGCAATTGAAAGTGTATCAATTCAAAATGTGTTTCCTAAGTGTGCGTTTATATTGCATAGCCAGACATAGTTAATGTCCCATACTTGAGTAAGAGGTTGACCTCCTCCCATCATATTTCTAGCATTTTGCTTCTGAGGGAACACTTTGCCCCTCTCCACAGCCATTAAGAAGATTCACAGTATAAATATAATGTTTTTCACTGCATGGCTCAAGAGTTTCTGTGCAATAAGTGTGTATGGTGGGAAGGGGAGTCTTCGCTGCTCCACAAGAATCCAATTTTAAATCCATCTCTAAAGTGCCCTTAATGGTCAAATCAACTACAATAATCCAGAAGTTGAATAGCCAATAAAATGTGGTGTGTGGTGTGTAACAGTAAATGTTTTTGCAACTGAGAGACATGATCAAGCCTCACCTTCTCATCATCCTCAGTAAAGGGAGTACCCATGGGATTTTTGTTGATTGCTTGTACAACACCAATGACTTCTCCATCACTGTTACAGATGGCCATACAGAGGATGGACTGAGTCTTGTAGCCTGTTAACTTGTCTATCTCATCACTGAAGCGGTGGTCCTGGAATAGTGGTCACATAAAACACATATTACACATGAATCGAAAATGAGTCCACATTAACACACAAATACATTCATTGTGCCCAGTAAATGCCCTGTAAGACCACATTCCTACAACATTTGGGTTTTACGCGCTTGTGTCACGTACAATAAAGCAGCCATGACGCACAGGTCTGATTATCGCCTATTTAAATTCACGGTTCTGCAGGATGCCTTTTGTTTTTACTATGGGCAGAAACCCTCGCTGACACATATCGAGACTATTGCAGTAATAGACCTCAGGGGGATCCGCATCATCATGTTGCCTTAGCCTCCCAAGCAGCCCAGGGCCATGATATAATGATGATGTGGAGCGCAATTGGTAGCGTATCACACGAGATCTGGCTTGTGGGAAGCTGCGAGGATTATAATGCTTGCTTTCCTGCCTTTTTCTTTGATTATTATAGTGGTTTTATTCTGACATGACTGTGGCAATTAGCCTACTTGGCTTTTCTCCATTTCGTCGAGTTCAGCGACCCCTTCGAGGAACTTCAAAAACAACTAATTAAAATGCAAAACAATTTTCATGTAGGAATGTGGCCAACAGGGAGCTTACTGTCTATGTTCAAGTTCACTCCCAATGGTGAAAAAACCACAGGTCTGATCCCGTCATACATCCCTTATCAATAGCTCCTTTTCCTGTAAATACGTCTGCATGAACTTTTGTAAAAGTATAACAACATGTAAATATCATACAGATGTAGACCAGGCTCATATTTACCTCATATGCGTTGGAGATGTTTACAGTTTCCCCATGTTCTGCCACATATCCAATGATACCCTTTCCCCATGGCACTTGCACTTCATTTGAGTTTAGGGTGCTGGAGGATGGTCTGACAGTGGTGCCTGAGTGCACATCAAAGAATTTGGACACCAGTGTTCTCTTATGCGCGGGTCCCTCGACAAGGAAGAGCGAACACCTGTCTGCATCTACCAGGATACACACATTGATCAGGATCTTGTAACTGAGGTTTGTCAGGTCCAAATCGTTGGAGATATCCTTCACTAACTCCAAGAAAAACTCCCTCTCGTTGGTTTCCTTAAGTCTGTATTTGTAGTCGATGGCACTGGACGCGTACTGAGGCACGTTAACCCTAGACTCCAGCAGGGCGCTCAGGATGTGCGCGGTGGTCGGAGGCAGGGAGCTGGCTTTACGCAGGAGCGCACGGCGCCTCATGCTGGACTGGGATTCGTGTTGGCTCAGGCTCACATGCTCGTCGTAGGTCCGGTGTGCGGTGGTGGCTTTGGACCGGGCAAAGTTCCGTCGCAGCTCCATGTGGGACGATCTGCGCCGGAGCCCGTCCGGGTTGGTCGGCCTGAGCGGGTCCCTGGCAGCGCCGCGCCTCTCCTCAGCTGTGCACACTTTCGACGGCTGATGCTCCTTCAACCATCTGCTTACCTGATCGCATTTCGCCTTTCGAACGAGATACTCCTCGAAGAGATCTGGATGGCAGTCCAAAAACGCCTCTACATCCGAGAAGTCAAACGTTGTCATGGTGAAAGCTGCTGTGAGGACCAAATGAGACACTCAATGTAACAGAACAAGAGTTTTACGAGTAGATGACGGGGGGGGAATGCGGCTGCAGCCGAGCTTCTCAGAGAAGTGATGTCCTCTAAACATTTATTAATTCATCCCCCATATGGGCAAGTCCACCGTATTCTCCGCTGAAATACTGGGAGCAGAAGAAGTGGTCAGATGGATTCAGTTTATTTGAGAACGGATTGATGACGTCTGAGACGTACAGCTGCCTGTCAAGACAGAGATTGAGCTGTGTCTCTGGGGATTTCTGTGGAATACTATGCAGAGGTGTAGAAAAACAAGGCGCCTACATATTCTCTCCCTAGAAAAAAAAAAAAACAACAACTACAGGGCAGGCTGTTGACTAGCTCTCTTTATTCTATACCACCAGAGACACTCTGTGCAGGGCTCCAATCAAAACCGAGAACGAATTTGATGTTTCATTTACATTTATGAGCTGTTGGAAAGAGATAGCCCCCAAAAAAAGTCAAAAGTGTACATTTTAATAATAAAAGAATCATTTTGGGCTGAAAAGATTAAGAAGAATTATATAGGCCTATATAGTGGCAGCTCTAGACCTAGTAAATGATTTTAGGTTTTTCACAACACAGTGGATAGATAGATAGATAGATAGATAGATAGATAGATAGATAGATAGATAGATAGATAGATAGATAGATGTGTGTTACCTTGCAGTTAAGTGAAAGACACACCTCCCCGCACACATACAAACACCCACACACTGGCTGTACCACTACAACAGTCGATGCTCTAACCTTGACCACCATCCTTCTCTAACTTTAAGTTGGTTTTGGTCGCCCAAATTTAACCAAACTCAACCACAAAGGCAGGCAGATGAGACACTCATGTGAATATTTTTGTGGTCATGGAAGGTAATGAGTAAAGATCTACAGTATGAAGACTTGCTGCAAATGCCCTGTGCTAATTTAAAGACCTTTCTTTTTTTTAGTTTATATAATAATTCTTTCAGTACATGTTGAGCTCACATGGTGAATATTCCTCAATAAAATCATTCAAAGAAAAAATACTAGGTAGTATTTTAGCAGTACTTCAGGGGTCAGTAGGGGCCCAATGCTGAATGTATGGTCTTTAGTAGGCTTTTTGACCCCTAGGGTTAAAATAGTAATTTGCAACACAGATGGAGAAAATAATCAATGTCTGCTTTTCCTTTAGGTAGAGGCAAATTAATTTCTCAGTGTTTCAGAGGTTATTGATGAAGTTAAGTTGGATTTCTGTTGTTGTGTACAACCCTGTAGGGGTTAAGCATCAACCTGCATCTGCACAATAACTTTATGTTAGTGAAATCTCTGTAGACTGTTGCACATTTACAATGCAGCAGAAAGAAATATAATCCGGAGAGCGGCGGTTCCGCTGGGGCAGAGCAGGGTAATTGGTTGCTGGACTTAGCTTAGGCTGCTTGATAGGACTTGGGTGTTTTGCTGAGACTTTGGACAAGGTCTCTTGGGAATCCCAATTAAAAAGCAGAATGCAGAATATGGGTCTTGTGAAGGCCAACAAATGAGACAAACCTTGCTGCTTAGAAAGCAGTCCATGTCATGTCCATGGAGAGGCAGCTGCATTGATTATAAGTCTTGGTTGTGTGCTGATTGAAAACTGGTATTTAAAGAGTCTGGAGCAGACCAGGTGTGTGTGCTGTCCTATTTCAAAGGGCTTCTAAATGTAGTAAATGTATCCTCTCAATCAACTTTATGAGTAATGTAATGAACACATGAACACAATATTTTCTGACGTTAGTTTTGTTTTTCTCTTTTCTTCTCTGTGCTCTTCTCACTTGCTCATTTAGGAAATGGTGAAAAATGTTGTGCATCAATCAGGATTGAACTATATTCAAACCACACTTGGTGGCTTTTTGGTCACTGTTAATAAAATCTAATCACACCCACCCACACACAGTCCTGATGAAGCAGATGAGAGTGTAAAGTCTGAATAAATAATTGTTGATTATTTTGTCATGAAGTTTTCAGGGGCTTTAATGTCATGTTGTTTTTATATTGCTGTAAAATAAATTCATATTATGTAGTCAATCCAATAAATGTGGACAGGAGATCATCAGGCTTTCTGGGGTCCCTTAGTAAAATCAGGAAGTCTTTTGATTTACTTACTAGGGGCTGACACAATGAGGTTCTTTAATTGGGACAAAATCTCCTCAAATGGAGTTTGAGGATTAATACAATTTAGAGTCCTTTGATATGAAAAGTTTCAGGAACTCTCCTGACACAAAGCCATTCTTGGCTTAAAATTGGGGAAATTAATTTGCATTATGGTCACTTTTTTGTCATTTTTAACTTTCATCAGAGTATGCGTAGTCTAGCGCGATAAGTTACTCCTATTCATGCAAGCTCAGTCACAGCAGAGTAAGAGCACCACGGACAGTGCACGTCTAGCACATCTACTAAATCCTAGAAGGAAATGTTCTACAAAATGAGCACACAATTTCTAAATCAACATAAGAACAGGACAGTTCTCAGACTGAAATTACCTTCTAGATTGCTCCTAAGACTTTCTTTGAACAAGTTTTGTTGTTTTTTTCTTTGGCATACAGTGATAATGTATAAGTCTTTCCATGTTGCATAGGAATGGAGACAACAAAACCTGACTCCTGTAACCGTACACCACCTGCACAAGTATCTGGTGTCAGCATGTCCTGGTCAGACCAAGTTTCCGCTCCATGCTTAGTTGTATGAGTTCACCAAACTGTGAACATGTAATATTATCAGATCCATGCTTGATGACCGGATGATGGACATCCTGAGCAGTGATTGCACTGGATATGAAAATATTGATATAATATGAAATATCAGCACATCTTGACCACCAGTTTTACACAACAAGGACAAATAATGATTTTCAGAAGGTTACTGTTCATATTTTTTCTGGTCTTAGCAAACCAAATTGCTACAGTCTTTAGTCTTCAGCCTTACAGAGACTTTTTAAAGTATATCCCCGCTCACACACTATGTGCTGTCAGCTGGATTGGGTGTCACCCACTCTGATCCTATTGTTTGTTGTAATACCATCAGTCTGGCAGTCCCAGGACCCACCTCACTGGTCACAAGTGAAGACGAGGAAGTCCTGTTCTGTCAACGAAAGCTTCACCGGTTATACTCTTATCCATTTCGACCAAGAAGACATGCTTCCCATATCTGCAGCAGGAGGATAAAATAGACTTCCCTGGATCTGTGGGGGGTTTTTTGTTTGTTTTTTTAGGTAGGTTTTTAGGTTTTTGGGGTTTTTTGGTAATTCATAACAGGAAAAAATCCCATTGATTTTCTCGATACCACTGCCCAGGTAATTGAACATGAGAGTGTGTTTTTGTGATTTCTTTGTTGATTACTGTTGGGTAATTGCTGTATTTCATAACTGTAAATTGTTAATGTAGTATAAAAGAGCCACTGCCGGCTATGATCACATTACAAAATCTTGTGGTAAATACTAATACTAAAATACTACCTTGTGATTTAATTTCATGTCATTTCACATACATGTATGCAGTTTTATCTGTGCCATAACTTGTGCTACAATGCTATTCATGTGTATAAAATTACCACTTATTTTATGAGCCAAGTTGGTTGTGTGACACATATTTCAAATATTTCAATCTCTCATGATCAAACAATTAGACAAAACAACAACATTGATTAGCAGACATGGTTTCATTTTCTGTATTTTTACACTCACTATTCCCTCTCTTGGAGTCAGAGCTCCAGTGGCCAGATGGAGCCCATGTCCCCACTAAACCACAGCACCCCATCTGATTTAAATGGCCATTATCACTTTGGTTATGGAGGAGGCATCATATCTGAGTAAGTACAAAGACAGTTGTATAATTAAACATTTAATACATCAAATGTAGCAAAATTGTACTAATTTCACAGGCCTATCACCAGTCTACATCGTTATGACAATACTGGCAGAAAGAAAAGTAAAGTTCGTCTCAATGACCAGCTGTGAGTAGCCATTGATTCATCCTAAATATAGCCATTATTAACGTGTTTACTGAATTTTCAACCAGAATGATAACATTCATTTTGGTTATTTTCCCAGCATACCAAAACCAACTGATATAAATATGGCGTGAGTACTTTCTGGGATAACCTTTTCTGTAGACATAAACAAATAATAAACGGATTTCTTCTTTTTACAAGCTCACCATTTGCATTTACCGTTTCATGTGTCTTTAATGCACTTCACCTTAATTTAATTTCCTGCTACCTCTAACAGGGAGAAAATGATAACGATTGCAACTCCAAAAGAGCATCCCTATTCATCCCACATCTCCAAGTTTGCAATGTTCCCATCATTCCGCTCTCCAGATGACCCTGAAACAGGAGTCAGAGCAGCTTCCCAACTTTTCCCCAACCACATGATCCCAAATAGTGCACCAGACGTCACTCTGCTGAGCAAAACTATAGGTAAGAGGGCAACATACGTATAGTGGTACAATAGAATAGGTGTTTCCAGGGAGGTTTAAGATATCTTTATTTCCATGCACAGGTAGTCCATATCGACATGAGATCTTGGAGACATCCATGAAAACCAGGAAGAAAGCTGTTATGTGGCCTGGAGAACAAGGCTTCTTGGAGGTGAGGAATGTGGCTTCACATTATCTTTGAGTTTATCCAATACGTAAAATGACAATAGTTCAAATAATACCTTCCTCCAGCATGCAAAGCCATTGAAGGGACAGAACCAGGTTTTCTACCCCACTCCTCCAAAGACGGTGCTGCCAAACCCTAAACTTCGTGACTGGGATTTGTCGTTGTCTGAGCGGACAAGCAACATGCTGAAAAATTTGGAGAGGACACAGTGGGTCACCTCTTACCAAATGCACTACACAGGTAAAGGAGCCTAAAGACTGTTAAAATGATAGTGACTGTACAAAAATGATAGGGGTGTTATATTTCTTATGTAACACCCTAATATTTTTTATATTATATGTTATATTCCTTTTATAAAAACAAACAAAAACCTTCCCAAACTTTGGACTATGCTGTTGATTTGAAAAAGATGTGAAAGCTGTCCCTATCGCAAGGGAAGGAATAACCCATCCACTGCTCTCTCAAAGAAGTTTGACTACCATCCCTTCAACCAAAAGAAAAAAGACCAATACCCTTCTCTGACCCCTTCTCCTCCACAGTTATTTTCATCCAGTCCCTTAGCAGGAAGCTGAAAAACATATATAAGAACACTATACATTTTGCTATCTGAAATGATGAAAGCCTGTGTGTACAGACACTTTGCAAAGTAATAAATAATGCAGTAATGGAATATGCATAATTTGAACATCAATAACCATTAATATTGTAATAATAAATATTTGATATTTCATTTTCTAAGGATCGGGGCCAGTGAATCCTCTAAAGATAGGTGACTTCAAGGAAAGAATTAGTGACGTCACTGGGATGAATTCACACACTGCACCACTGGTAAAATCCTTAAGAACATTGTGCCATTTTACAGTAACATTTACAGTGTGCAACCTTAATCCTAATGTGTTCCTTTACCTACAGAGAGAAAAGTCCTTTCCTGTGTTTCTTCCCTCTAAACCGAGAAACGGGTGTAGAAGAATACAGGAAAGGAGAACATGCACTCCCACTGCTGCTGAAGCTCCAAACCAAGGCACTTCTTCAGCTACTGTAAACCAATATAGGCCACAAGAGATCACAGCTAAACATAATGAGGCACCACATCCAAACCAAAAGGGGCATAGTCAATCAACGTACAGCACTGGCTCCACAGAAGCTGAGCTGTCCCAGGAGGTCTTACACAAACAACAATCTGAGAGCAAAAGCACTGCATATGAGGGCAGAGAGAGAGAAAACTGTAAAGTCCAGTTTATTGATAGTCCTATGCAAGTATCTGTGTCACGGAGCAGCCAAGAGGCTAACGCTGACTGGACCGCAAACACAGAGAAACCCCTAGACCTGTACAACCGCCCACTTTCCCAGGAGGTCGGCAGAGAGAAAAGACTGATCGAGCTGTGTGTAAAGGAGGAACCAAGTAGCAAAAAGGAGCATTTTAAAGCTGGAAGAAATGTATCTAGCCTCAGTCAGTCAGCTGTAGCCAAAGACCTGGCAGGTATTGAATCACATACTGAGTTATTATCAAGGGCAGCTTCAGAGCAGGAGGAACTGGCAAAGGGCAGAGAGCTGCCACGCAGTACCTCTAACCCCTGCATCCTGCCGAGGCCTACTGTGCTGCCCAGCATTTGCCCTGTGGACAAAGTTGGGACTGTGTGTACAGAAGGTGCAGCACCTCACAGCCTCCTGAACCTTCAAAATTCATTCAGTAAGTCGATGGCCCATCGCAACTTTAACAGCTCAATCACATGTGCTGCTGTGAACTTGAGGGACAATGTAGTCACAGGGAAAAAACATGATTTCTATGGGATCAACTGTAACTACCTCCATGGATAACCTAATGGACATTAATTTTAACATCCTGGAAGTAAATAAATGGTGTGGCAGCTTTTTGGCTTCCCTAAGCTACAATTTATCTTCAATCTCATTTTCTTAACAAGTTCAAATGACCAAAATTCAATCTTTAACAAGTAGGCTACCAAGAAATCGAGCCAGAAAGGAATTCCTTATACCTTGGTCCTATTATGATATGTTCTTATCAGTCATGTGATTCAAGCATCTAATCTGCCTAAAATACACAGGAAAAAATAACTTTTAATTTTTAGATCAGAATTGGAGCAACTTGAATATAGTTTCTTGAATAGACATTTGTATTTTCTATCTGAAATTGTTAATCTTGAAAAAAAGCCTAAAACATTCAGAGGGGAAAACCTCATACATCAAAACACACACATTACATACAGTCGTACACTGGTTGACACAGAAACAGAGAGTTACTATAAAGGCTGTCAGAGTTCTCATATGCTAATACATTAAAATATCTTAAGTCTGTGGTTTTCTTTCAAGCAACTCTCAAGACTGTTAATTCAGCCCGGCCAGTTTGAAAATATTGTTAATTTGTACTTTGTTTCTACACTTTTCATTTGCAATATTCATTAGAGCTCAGAATGTATTATACAATAATAGTCTTATATAAGGCTCCCATAAGCCACAGCCAATTGTAAGGATAAAATAAAGGAAACAGCCTTCAAAGCTCACTTGTGTGAGTTCAGTCTGCCAGCACAGTCCACACAGAAGGAATACTCAGCAGCAGTAAATTCATAATGCAGCACACATGAATACTTTGGTCTTTACTGTCACCTCTCTCATTTTACAGAGCAGAAAATTTGTATGAAGTACATTCCCCCGCCCCACAAATGTGACACAGAGTTCACCACAGAGCATTGTGTTGGCTGTGTTATGGAATCCATCTCTCTGTATTACAGGTGCTGCAGTAACCTTCAAGCCAGTGTGAAAGAAAAACATGCCTTTTCAGTCAGGCTGACTCGCTGTGAAAGGTTTTTTTGTGACATTGAGTCCTTGAGCAGCAAGCCTGCAACCTTAGGAGATATAACAGCCTCTCATTCAGACTTTCAGAAGAAAAAAAAACACAATGATAATGGCTCTCACAGCAAAATGAATATTGTAGACAAGCTCAAGTTGTGAAGCAACTTCTAACAAGGTTACTTCTTACAGGCAACCAAGATAAGATTGGTTTTGTTGTTGAAATTGTTGTTTTTGTTTATTGTGATTGTGCAACAAACCTCGGACAACACTTCATAATAATGGTATAAATCATATACTTAAGTCTTGCATAAGTTTAATGCATGACTCCTGATGAATTACTGCAGGAAATAATGCAAGATGTATCATGAATTCCTGTTGCCCACCACAAACAAATTTTAAAAACACTATGACTTTTTGTGATTAGATAACACTTAAGCGATGTTAATTCATACATTAATTGATATGCAACCAAAAATTCCAGATAAATAAAAGTTTATTTATGCATTTGCTCAGCCTCTCTGAAAAAAGCTTCATATTTCTATGAGAATAAACCCAATGGTATTTTTGATACATTTACAAAATGATGAATGGTGAATGATCAGGCATGTTTAAGCTCCACTGCTTTGAACAACAGAAAAACAAAATGTAAGGTCCTGAAAAACAAACCTTTATGCAATAGGAATTCATCTAACTGGTTGCGTATCAATTAATTATTATTATTAAGTATGAAGTAACTATTAATTATAAACATTCCTTAAGTGATCTATTAAGAGTGAACTAATCACAAAAAGTCATAGTGACTTTAGCATTTGTTAGTGGTAAGCAGCAGGAATTCATGGAGCATCCTGCATTATATCATGCATTAAATCATCATGAGTCATACAATAGTTATGTATGACTTAAGTATATGATTTATACCATTATTATAAATTTATACCAAAATTCGTTCTTATGTCATATTCAAGGTCATATACATTTCTAAAACTACATAGTCACTCGTCATAGACATTTGCTAATCTTTTTACATCTCAGAAATTGTTTGTAAAAGATTCTCTACTTCTTTGACTACATGTTTCTCATTAAGCCACGAGCACAACTGAAAAGCTGTGATTCGTCCAGCAGGTGGCAGTATATCACCATTTACGGCCCCCAAATTCGTTATTTATCACTCTGATTTCATTTCATTTTTCTGATAACGGTTGTCTAATAATTTTAGTGGCTTCGACATCATTTCACTATCCCATACAGTCAGTACAAAACAGAAAAGAGTAATCCCACTCCTTCTTCGCACATATAGAGACGCGGATGTAAGATTCAATTAAAACTGTAATTAAACAATAAACTACTTTAAAAAAAAACAAGAATTTAATTACTTTGCAAAGTGATGAGTGTGACTCTAGTTGCGTGTGTCCTTGCGTTTGGGGTCCTCCTATGCCCTCAGCGCGTCATGGAAAAGATGCTGTCAATGACACAAGCCCCGCCCCTTTGGGGGGTGACGCTAAGCTCCGTTCTGCATTTTAATTGGAGTTTGGCTCCTGTCAGTCAGCGCCGCCGCCCTCCTCCATACAGAGGTGGAGAAACTGATGCTTTTCAGAGCGGATGGTGCATGTGTGTGCATGTCAGGCCGGAGTGGGGAGGCTGTCTGTATTGAGGCTGCAGTTTTGAGTATCTCTTCACTGGGTGTGTGTGCTCCACTTTGGGTTTGATAAAGCGACTGTTTCCGAGATCTCCGCCCTCACTACCTGGAACTCACATATGTAACTGTATCAAGGTGAGTGCGGGTTTTTTTTTTTTTTCTGTGGCAGATAAAAAAATTCTGTGGTCTACTCGATGGTTTGATTCTGTGACAAAGTAAGTCGCGTTTCCACTTAGAAAGCACGTCAGTTGAATAAGTGCTTTAAAAGTTGCTTTGCCTGTTTTTATTGCTCTTTGAGGCGACATGTAAATGAAACCTTTCACAACAGTTAAACAGAATGCTGTAAAATTTCAGAGTGATCACTTGGAAAGCTTTTGAGTGAAACAAGCCAACAGTAAACTGCATTGACTTCCACGTGACTTTAAACACTGTGTTGAACTCTCAGGGTTTTCCAGTATGATCATAACATGAGATTCAATAAACACCAATAGATCCTTTCAGTCTCCATGGTAACTCTGAACCCCCTTCTTCTTTCCTCTTGAGAAGTAAATACAAGTCGTGGATGATAAGTCTACTGTTTCAATATAACCCAATATACAGTCTTTGCAGTCTCTGCAATAAGCCTTCAGTGTAACCCAGTCACAAGCCAAAACTATGAATAATGTGCCTTTATGAGTGGCTGTATCTCTCATGCTGAGTGGATGTAGGTGTGTGATGATGACAGAGAGCGCAGATAGGATCCATTTTCAGATTTAATCAGGGCTTGAGCTCAGCATATCATGCTCACTACACAGTGTTTGTTGCAAAAACAGGAATATGGTGGATTTGACAGCATTTCATTTACTATGCACTGCAGATGGCAGATGTAACAGAATATCTATGCCAGTTATCAGCACACTGCACCGATTATTACAATTCTGTGTAAATCCTAATAATAATAGTGATTGTCAAGCTAAATATGGGGCCTGTGCCAAAACTTTGCAGTCAATTGTCTATGTTAATCCTAAAAAAATCTGGGTGAGTCAAAACTGTTTTGCTTGGTGAAAAATGACTGTGGCTATAATTTTAGGACTTACACAGTGTTATCTCAGCTCCTTTGGGTGTTGTGTCAACAGTGCAACAGAGGAGGCTTTTCAGGTGCTGCTTGGGCTGTGTGTGTTTTGGAATATGTGGGGCGCCCAAAAGGGATACTGAGAGTTTCTGTAAAAATGTCTGTCATGACCTGGAGTCAAGAGGGACGATGAATATGCTGACAATACAATCAGTGTTCTGTCTGTGGGTTGATTGTGTCGATGAGATTGTTTTTGAAATGCAGTTTATTCTATTTGAAGTGTCTTCGTCAAAACCGCTCCTTCAAGAAGAGGGAAAGGAAGTTGGCGTCATTAATGTGGCGTCGTTCTACAGAGGAGACAAACTGAACTCTACCTGTTTGACCCGTGTGTTGTTGTAACTCTTCAGATGGACGGTGTTACTGCATCAACTCGGATGTTTACTCTCAATGCAGAAAAACGTAATAAAAAGAGGCGCAATAACAGTGAATGTTGGAGAAGTCTGATCTGAATTTAGTTTTTTTTTTACAAACCAGCTTGCACAGGGATAGACGGCTGCTCTTCTGTCCTTCTGTTATTGAAGCTGTTGTGAAGACAAACTGAAATAAACTGTTACCTTGAGTGAATAAATGTTTTTTTTTTTTTTTCTTTACTA